GTGGCTGTTGTAGTTGAGGTGAGAATGATAAAGGCTGCTGTGGTTGCGGTTGAGGTGAGAATGATAAATATTGTTGTGGTTGGAATGGCTGTTGTAATTGAGGTAGTTGTTGCGGTTGAGATGAGAGTGGTAAATGATGTTGGGATTGGGGTAGCTGTTGTAGTTGTTGCGGATGAGATGAAAATGATGAATGTTGTTGTGGTTGGAGTGGCTGCTGTAGTTGAGATGATTGTCGCGATTGAGGTGAGAATGATAAATATTGTTGTGGTTGGAGTGACTGTTGTAGTCGAGGCGATTGTTGCGGCTGAGATGAAAATGATAAATGTTGGGGTTGGGATGGCTGTTGTAGTTGAGGTGGTTGTTGCGGTTGAGATGAGAATGATATAGCTTGAGATAGTTGAGGTGGTTGAGGTTGAGGTGAAAAAGATAAAGTTTGTTGTTGTTGGGGTGGAGAGAATGATAATTGTTGGGACGGCGGCATTGTATTATTATTATTATTATTATTATAATTATGATTATTGCTGTTTAAAAATGGAATATGGTTATATTGTTGATTAGACATTTTGAATTTTTTTTTAAAAAAAACGGGTTTGATTTTTTTTTTTTTTTTTAGGAAAAATTGGAAAACTGCACATATTTTTATATTAATTTTTCATCTCAAAAAAGAACATAGAAATACGTGCGTAGATGGTTTCAGAGTTGGTACTGAGTAAAATTGTGCATATTAAAGACGACAACTTTTTTATCAAAAAAAATCTTTTCTATTATTACACACACGGACTCGATAAGTCAGCCGCATAATTTATACTATTGAGTACTTTAAATAATTGCTTATTGCGGGCTGACTTATCGAGTCTGTGTGTGTATTACGATTACTGTTGAGTATGTATACAATTACTATATATAGAAAATAACAAAATTGTGCATACTGTATATGTTTTTCTATTTAAAGTAATAAATATCCTTTGGTCTACTTTGGCTTTTTATTTTAAGACGGACTTGCCGTTAAGGTTTTCAACTTTCCTTACTAGAACTAAAACATTGCCCTTGGTAATCTTTCAAGTTTTGTATTGTACTAGGTAAATTGTTCTACCAATATAATCCTTATGATATAGATATACATTATGCAAAAAACTCAATTTTGGCCAGGAGTTCTCAGATTCCCATATTTCTGTTGGACATCTCAAATATAATATCAAGATTGATTCAAAAAAGTTCCTTTTCATCACATGATGAAAATAAATGTGACGATACACATTGAGTAATTTAACAAAAGTAACGAAATCAACAAATCAATAAAATAAACCATTTATTTTGTAGATTTTAATTATTTAAAAAAATAAAATTCATGATGTCAAATTCTAATTCATCCAATTCACCAATTCCTTACCAATCATCATCATATAATATGAATTTGCAAACATTAAATTAGATAATATACCTGATAGTTCATCTAAAAAGAATCAAGATTTAACTACAGGACGTACTGTGTCTGATGAATGGTTACACTACATTAAAATAATAAATGAAGCATTTCAACAATCAGGATTATCAGATTATTTTACAGATTTTGAAGAAAGTTATGAACCAGCAATAGATGTGGAGCAGCAATTCCTAATAAAACTTTGTGTACAAAAATTAAGTATCCAACTAAGGAACATGATTTACTATGCAAAAAAAAATTATCATAATTTGACTTTTGACTTTACCCTTTGTCACTTTTCGTCATTTTCGCCACTTTCCGTCACATGTGCCCCATTTGACGAAATACCTTTTACACTCCAAAATATTTTCGTCATCCAACCTTGGTTTCAAATGAAATTCAATTTAACAAAATTTTGCATTTCATGAATTCTCTGAGCAATTCACATTCGTTCCTTTGTTCCTCATTTCGATCATTCTTGAAAAAAAAAAAGGGCTAAACCAACCATATTTAGCCTAAAAAGATGCAAATTTTATGGAATTCAAGGCGGATTGCGGGACTATGATTTTTGAAGAGGGTCTATCTCATGTAAGGTTGTGGGCGAAACTCCCCCAGAAATCAATCGACAGAGTTTCGACAGGTTACACATTAATTGTTTATTAGAGTTTTGGCAGAGTTTCGCATTTGGGAGTTTTGTCAATTGCCAGTGTTTTGACATACTAATTGTTCACCAGAGTTTTGACAGAATTTTGACAGTCACTAAGAGTTTTCGGCAAGCAACCTTGTTCAAGAATTTGTAATCAAGCAAAAGGATGATCTTGCGTAGTAATCAAAATTGATTCTATTAAATCTGACACCCGAACTCAATATGTTGGATTTATTTATTTTGGAAATAGTTTAAATGAACTTCATGACTTGTAATGGTTGGTATGCAATCAGAAAAGGAAAATAAAATTATTTTTGATTTTTTTTCCAAAATTGGTTCCTTAAAATTTTTGTTTTTGCACAATTTTAGCATCAGTGTCTCTTTTTCTTTAAGGGATAATCAATATCTGGACGATGCAACCTTAAAAGTACAAAATTATAAAAAAGAAATATATGTTAAGTAACAACACCAACTGTCTTCATTGTTTTATCAAAGAGGTAGCTAAAAGAAAAGGCAAGCGGCAAGCACATTAAAATTTGGGATGAATGTTTACAACTCTCAACCGGGGAAACATATGGCGCATGAAAGATTTGAAAGCTATCGGAAAATTTTCCAAGAAACAGTAGCAATGGATTATCGTGTTGGTATTAGGACAAAGCATACTATTAATGAAGACTTTGAGAGTATTGGAAAAGAAGGTAAGAAAGGTTTGATTGTGGTGGAAATTTAGCGGTTTGCTTTCCTTTGGGAAAACGAGTGACCCGAGATCGCAATTGCAAATGTAACTTGTTACCTTAGAAAAGAAATACTTATCTACAAGAAAAATGGCTAGCAAGTTAAAAGATCCTGGCAAGTGTATGCAAAAGAAAAAAATTTGAAAATAACCTAGTACTTATCTAACAGACTAAATAGCGTAAACAAGAAGCGACGAAAACAAAACACTGACAAGAGACATTATAAAATTACTGATATCACAATCAAATCACAGCCCTATAAAAAATTATAGTACTGAATACATACTAATACGCAGTACATATGGAGAAACGTATTTTTGATACAGAATACGTTTTTCTAATACTATATACTAAATGCATTTCGCATCTATTAGTACTATTTTCGTACACAATTTTTATGGTATTGGTAGTTAAGTATGGGAACGGTTCAGTTTATAAACTGTTTAACCGCAGTTTTATAATTTATTGGTCAATATAATAAAATGAAAAAAAACCAAATTATTTGTTCCAACAATTAAAGCTAGTTTTTAACCATTTCTGCTATTATTCATCGTCAGATATAATTTTTTAAAGTATCAGTTGAAGTTTTTCCAATTCCACTATATGTGGTTGTACAAATGCAGCACTTCTGAATTTCATTATGATGGTAGTGATGAAAGATAGGGTTCCTATTCGAATAAAACTAATAATAATTCTAATAAAAGAAATGATTCGAATAAATGAATAATAAATAATATACTGCTAATTCGATTCAATTAAAATATTTTTTCCTTAACAACCTATTTTCCTTCATAGTCTTGTATATAGGTGATAGTAATAATAATAGTAGCAGCAAAAGTAATTGACATTTTTCTTTTCTTAAAACTATTTTGAAGAGGCAAAAGCCAAAACTAAAATTAAAAGTTATATGTCAAATCTAAATCAAATCTAAATCAATTAAAAAATAAAAGTCAAAACCAGTTTCGACTTTCGCACTCTATAGTTTTGGAAAACCAGCATTAGCGACCATAGTAGTAGCAATATAGACTATAAATAAATATTGTGATTTATATTATCTTGTTAAAGGAATAAAACCTTATTATAATTTACAAATAGTTAAAATAAAATCTCTTATCAATAACAACAATGATAAAATAGAATTTGTTACATCAAGTTGTGAATTAATATTTTATGTTTTATAAAACAAACAATTTGAATAATTCGAATAAAATTAATAATTCGAATAAACAAATATAACGAATAAACGAATAAACGAACAAAACGAATAATAATAATAATGATAATTGACGAATAAACGAATGAACGACGAATAAACGAATAAACGAATAAACGAATAAAACGAATAAAGCGAATAAAGCGAAAAAAACGAATAAAATGAATAATTCGAATAAAATGAATCGTAATTAGTATTGCGATAATCCAAATAAGAATTTGTATTACGAATAGCTCCAATTGAATGGATGTATGTATATTATTGGTAGTAATAGTAATCAAATAATGAACAATGGTTGAGGGCGCAGCAGCATTTATTTTAATTCGTAACACCAAATTATCCACAAATCAAGTAATTGGTGTTTCATTGCTTTGCTATATGTTGCTCCACGACTGCAATTTTGATGATAGTTGCAACTAGTTTTTTTTCGGTAAAACAATAAAAATCTCAGAGGTCAATCGGAATATATACATATTTATAATTCAACTAAGTACTACAAGTATCAGGGTAGGCGATAATAATTTCACCGAAATAATATAACTATTAATATTTTAATTTTAAGGGAACCAATATAGCAAGTGATTGATTATGAACTTGTCAGAGTAATTATGTGAAAAGAATGCCCGGACCTGAAGCCATTTATGAGTTTCCCTGTACATTGTTGTCATTCTGGAAGCTTACATATGTAACTGAAACTTGCAATAGTAGCATTAATTATAGTAATAAATTCAAAATCCTTGACTTAAACAAATTAAATTGGTAGAAAACCTAAAGGATCGATTGTTTCAAATGGCATACATATTTTTCGTGTTAACTTGTTTTCATAAATCAAATGGATACAGTAGTGATAGTAATGAATACGAATTAATATAATGCTTGAATTATTTTTACATGCATTCGAATAAATTTCTCTCTTGCTTAAATAGAACTCTACTAATTACAATGAAGATTCGTATTCTGATTTTAGTAATTTCATTTAACTCCATGTTTTATTTAAATGCAGTGAAAATAGCTGTGGAAGTGAAATATGCGGAAGTGAAAACACTTGAAATCGAAAAGTTGAGAGTAAAAGATCGTTTATTATATCTATAGATGTGCCATTCATAGTAACTGTAATTTTTTTCGCGCATAGTGCGTATATTGCGCATGGTATTATAGTGCGCATAGTGTATATATATCATAGGGAGGGAAATATCATAAATGTGCATATAATAATAAGAAAGTAAATGGCATATTTAATTTTTTTTTAGAAATGTTTATTAATAAGTAAATGTCTACAAAAAATATATCTAAAACCATATGCGTAGCACACTATGCGCGGCACTTCTCTAATTATATCTAAACCAATTATTTCTTCTCATCATTGATCTACAATCATCTCATTTACAACAATTTGTCAAATTCATCTCGCGGTTAATGATGAGATACAAATTAAGTTGAACGCGCTATTAACAAAAATCGTTTAATATTAAATAAAGGCGATTATTTATTTATATGTAGTACTTCAAATAAACATGTCTAATTTTACTCTACCTATTTAAATATAGATTCAATTTTTTATTCTCTAGTGGTGAAGAAGTCGACAATGATCATGTCGTATATTCATTGAAAGTTGGTGATACTTTTGAAATTGGCAACAAGTTTAAGTGTTTCGTACAATTATGCTTTGAACAAAGGGTCGAATCAAAAGCACTATTGAATGAGTAACCTGGGAATAGTAATTTATATATACACCTATAAAAAACAAATATCTCGGGTTTTAGGAGAGGCATATGTGCTTCATCCGTCAAGAAAAGAGAAATTTCTATTGAACCATTAAGAAACCATGCAGTTTAAAAATAAAAATTTTGAAATTATTCATTTAAAGTATAAATATTTGGTTGTGTATTCGGACTGATACCTTTCTCTAATTTTGTTAATAAAACTTTCCTGGTCATTATTATTATTGAAACTAATGTTTGACAAATAAATCATGGATCAATTATAATACTAAAACTTTTTGAGAGCTTTTTATATTAAAACAACATATTTTAAAGTAATACAATTTTAAAAAGTAATGCAATTTTAAAAGTAATGCAATATTTTAAAGTAATACAATTTTAAAAGTAACGCAATTTTAAAATTAACTTTCAAATAAACTTTATTGAAATTATATGTTCTGATTTATAACAATTGTTGACACCTTGATGCACCCTATAATTCATCACTTAAATTGCACTAGCCCCTTTAGAATACGTTCATCAGAATATTGTAATCCGTTATTCAATAAGTCATTTCTAGTTGCGTTAAAGAGGGTATTCTCACATCTTTGTCTCTGAACAGTAAGCTACAGGAATCAACACTAAGCATGAATGCCTAGATCGACCACATGTTATTTTGGGTCGTCAAAAGCAATTAATTTTAGCTTCCCTTGTTAATGAAGACCTTGGTGAGAATCTTTTATCTAAAGCAATTGTATCTATTATATACACATATATATAATCAAAGATTGTCATGCACAAAATAATATGATACACCTCATATAAAATCATATTTAGCCGTTGATAAATAAAAATAAATAAATGCTATTACCTTCCGAATCATTGGTGGCGGGGATTTAAAATTAAAATAAATTTATTAAAATTAATACATTACAAATTTTATGAAATAATTAACTTTTGCTACTTATTTTTATTACTTTTTCCAAATTCGGCAATTTTGACAGCCTGTTCAAACGATGAAATAAGGGAATATTCTAAATAATAAAACTAATAACTAATAAACCAATAATAAAAAAAGTAAATATTATTCGCAAACCCCGCATGACTAAGTGTAGTAATGTGACCAATGAATGGCTTAAAATGTGATGATTTTATTGGTTTATCTTTGTCTTGGTCACGTGGGTGCGAATAAAGGTAATTCCGGACATTTTCCGAACAGGCAAAACCTTTATCCATTTGTCATCATGGAGTTTGTCGATCATAGAGTGAGTTATCCGGACAAAATCCCGGAGATCAACATCAGAAATATCCACGCCACACACCCCGAAAGGCAGAAGCCTTACCCATTGTTATTCCATGGATAAAGGATTTGCCTTTCGGAAAATGTCCGAATTAGGTGTCAATGTTGATATAAATTTTTTTATCATAGTAATATTCGGAATTTTCCCAATTTAAAATTCTATAATTACAATGACAATTTCCAATGTAGCAATAAAAATATTTAGTAATGTATGAATCGGGTATTTTTTTAGAATCACACAATGCATTAAAAGACCGTCGATCATCACATTTAATTCATTTAATAATTGATCACAAGTTTAGCCTCTTGTACTCATATTCTATAAAACGATACAAAAAAATTATTGTTGTTGTTGTTGTTGTTAGAATTGTAATTATTAATGTATTTTTTAGATAGAAAAGTCTATAAAAAGTTTACTTGTACGTTTGTATGCAAAAATTAATTTATTATTCAGATCAATCAATCTATACCTATAAAAAACTTCCACAGAAAACATGGAAAATTTACTAGCACGCAATCCTCCTGCAAAATTGCACATTTACGTATTAATATGTTTTTATACGGAAATGGGCGCGATTTACAGAAACACACTAAAAACATACATACTGTTGTTCTCGGATATTTCAGATGATTTTGGCATGAAAAATGTTGCGATAAATATAGAAAACATTGTATCTATGTTTTCTATGAATTTTCTGTAAATTACGTTCTTTTCCGTATAAAAAAATACCAATATGGAAACGTTCCGTACTATATTAATATAGTAATAGTATATTTTCTGTTTGGTAAACACAAATCATACGGAAAAATGAACTGTTTTTCCAATATAAAGATTTTTCGCAGACCGAACCAATTGTTCCGAACAAAGAGACTTTATTGACAATAGAAAAATTAAATTTGTATATTGAGTACCAATTTGGTAATTTACAACTAATACAAAGTAATGATTATTAAATCTTAAAAAGGAAAACAAATTAATTAACAGACACATTTGAACATCTAGACTTTTGAATTTATATAAAAAAAAAGTTTACGATTGTCAAGTTTCTTTTTTGATTTCATTCATTGAAACATCATAAAAGGTTGATAAAACAATAAAGTTTGCTAAAAATTCTTTGTATGAATGGAAAAATCAGACGCGTGTAAAAAATATATACTCTTTTGATAAATAATTATCACCGAATAAAATAGATTTTCATACTTGAGTTGCCTTTCTAAGCTCCCAAAACTATTTATATACCAATTCCGAAAGGTTTTTAGTTTTGGAAGGCAACTCTATTTCATACATAGTAATTTTACGAATAATAAATATGTATATTTTATTCATTATATTATTGCTTTATTATTTATTATCCATTTATTTTATTTTTCATATTATTATTTAACTGGAACGTATATTTTTAGTTGTGTGTATTTTGACATTATTGAAGATTAATTATGAAAATTTAGTTAATTAAAATTCCTTATACAACTTAATTAAATAATAAGCAACTTTTTATTCCCACAGTGTTTTTGACTGGAAACCGAGAAATAAAGGAAGTAAGTAAAATTAATATTCACCATTTTAACGCGTGTAATTGATGAATGTGGAGTGGACCTTTTGCATAAATGATATGATCTATAAATACTCTTGAGCATTCGGATATTCGGATATTTCTATTACTAATTATAATTCTAATAATAATCTTTATATCAAATTAGTAATAAAAATGTCCCATTTAAGATTGCTCCAATAAACAAATTTAGCCAGATGACCTTTATTAAAAAGAAAAAGATCACAAGGGATCATTTTTAGTAAGATATTTGCGGGGAATGTTTGTGTGAGGGGTTACATAACATATTAATTCAAATTACCGAGATTTTGTTTATTTTATATATATATGACATTATTTATATTATGTCGATCATTTTTCAATTGTTTTAGAGGGTACATCTATCAAATTTTACAAATATACCTTTTTACTTTCAATCTTCCCTGATCCATTCGAAGTAATAATTTTTTTTTCCTTGATTACAAGTCATTATTAAAATGTCTGTTGGTTTTTATTCCGTTTGTAAAATAGAAAAGATGGCTTTAAGTGGCGAAATATTTCAGAACAAGGAAAAGAAAAGGTTAGACTGGTGGGTCATGAATTAAATATAGCTAAAAGAATATGTTTTCAATGTATAATTCTTATATAGCATGATAAATATAATAGATATAAAAGAAAACCTGAAAATGCAACATATAAAATGAGAAAACCAATTGAAATGGAAGCAAATACTAATTTGTTTACAAATTCAAATTACAGAATTAAAGACGGAATTAAAGGTGATTAAATATTAGTTTAATATTATTTAAATAAATTAATTTTATTATTATTATTATTATTTTGTTTTTAAATAATTAAATAATCAATTTTTAGATAGTATATATTTTTCTGATTTAAAATGGAATTATTAATGATCCTAATGAATTTGTAAAAATGATTGAAGAAAGAGATCCTTCGTTAAAAGGGCTTTTTGATATATCGTATCAAAGTATGAAACCTTCTTCAAAAAATTCATCTATAGAAATAAGTCTAAAAAGAAAAGTAATGACTATCTGTTACAAATGGCTGGCCTTAAACAAGTATGTTGGTTAAGTCAAAAATCAAATATCTCTATATATGCCGAATACTGGTTACATATGTAAACTTGATAAGTGGTCACTCAGGTGTAATATTATGTTCCAATCAAAATTTGGATTTACATTCACATGTAGAAGTCTCCACATTGTTACACGAACATATTTGCTTCATGAATTTACTAAAAAAGAAATTTCTATTTTTCAAAGGTGTATAAATGAACACTATTGGTTTTTGATTCTTGAAAAAACATTGATGTATATAAATTCTGAAACAAGAAAAAATTTTTGTGGACGGCTTGTGATTTTATAAATTATAAAGAGGTCGAGGAAAATGGAATCTTTTTTTTATAAAAGGTCAAGAAAATGGATTTGTTTTTTTTAAGATTGAATTTTTTGTTTTTTGAAATGCATAAATTAAATCTCAATGAAAATCTCGATGCCAAAATCAACATAGGCAATGAGAAAAAGAAGAAGTTTAGTAGCGGTAATAATAATAATAATCGCAATGTTTATAACCAATGCCCCCAATGTCATAAAATCCGAACAAAACTAAATTTTTGTATTAATTGCCAACATCATTACCACATAAAGCGATTCGATATTTGGACAAGTGGTGATTTGGAAATCGACAAACTTATTAGGTATACACAGGTAAACTCGACTTATCACGACTTTTGGGAGTGGATCGATTGGGACGATATAGATCTTGTAGAATACCATGGTAGAGGGTTTTTTGGTGAAATTTATTCTGCGTTGTGGATATCAGGTCCTCTTACAATGTGGGACCGGGAACTAGAGTGTTATAATAGAAATGGCCCAATCAAAGTTGCCCTCAAAAGAATTGAAAATTCGAAAAAACTCAGTCAAGAGTTTATAAACAAAGTAATAAAAAATATTTTTATTGTTTTCTCTTTTATTGTTTTCACTAGTGAAGTTGGCCGGCTAATAATCTGCATACATAATTTGGTATAAATTTACGCGGTACCTTCTGGTAATAGAAATAATAGTAAACGGCTCAGCCAGCTAAGGATTTTTAAACGGCTAACATCACTAGTTTTCACTTTTTATTGTTTTTTTTTGTTTTTGTTTTTTTTTGATT